TTATTTTAAGCGAGGAGATGGTATGGATCCGAACAATTATCGTGGAATTACAGTAGTATTCCCCCGATGCACTAACTAAACTCTTTGAAATTTTGCTTAAAAAGACTTGTTTTGTGGTATAAGCCTATGGATGAACAAACAGGGGCCCAAAAGGGCAAAGGGTGTTTGGAAAAATATTATGACCTTATGTTTACTAATTGATTATGCGAAAACAACACGGTGTAAATTGTTTCCTTTATTCATAGATTTTCGGAAGGCATAAGATAAAGTACCAAGGAGTAGTTTGTTTAAGATTTTGCAAGATCTAGGATGCGGATATAAAATGATTAGAATGTTGCATAAATTATATAGTAGTACATTGTTCCTGTTAGGTAATGCGATAATATTACCATGCATTGGTTTTAAACAAGGTTCGCCTATTTCATGTTTGCTTTTTGTTATTTTCGTTGATCGTTTAATTCTAATGGTTAAAGGATCGTCACCAGCCGATTCCTTCCTTAATCATTTGCACATACTTATGGACGATGGATGACGCAGTTCTAATATCATCGACGAGGAATTCATGTTTTCATAAACTAAAAATTGTGATTGAATATTGTCAAACTTATGGTATGGAGATTAATCAGGATAAAACAAAATTACTTGTTACTAATGGAAACAAACAAGATAAAAGTACAATAAGGGTTGAGAATATTACAATTGAGTCTTTTGAAACATATATGTATTTAGGATCCCCAATAACTAGTCAGGGAACAATTAAGTTTGGTGCTTTTTAAAATAGAAATCCTAACTTACCATTCATTTTTAAAAAGAGAATTGCTGAGTCAGCAGTAATGTCGTCATTATTGTACGATATTGAAACATGGTTAGGAGATGGGTTTGCAAACTCATGTCTACTGTCTTTGTATATGAATGTTGTAAAACAACTTCTTGGAGTAAGAATGCAAACCCCCCAATGAATTATGTTTGATTGAGGCAGACATGCCAACCTGTGCATTTCGAATGAGAGATGCCCAAAAACGATGGTTAAAGCGTAATATTGTTAATAATCCGAATCCTCATGCTCCACTTATTACCGTTCCAAGTTTGTGTCAATCGTCGGATTCACCCATGTTAAGACATATAAATGCGGTAATCTCAGATTTAGGTACGTTGCATGATGAGATAGTGCGCCTGAGAACTTGTATTGTGGATAAAACGACAACGCGATTTAATCAGTATACAGCGTTTAATCCTGAACTTATACAAGCACAATTTTATTTATGTAAGGATGTTCAAGAAAATGAACGAGTTGTTTTAACACGTTTTATTTTAAGTTCTCACTATCTAAAAGTTAAGACAGGTAGATGGTCCCGAATAGACAGAGATAAAAGAATATGTAAGTGTAAAGAAGGTGTTTAAGATGAGCATAATATTTTATTTGATTTTAAACTTACCAAGGAAGTTACGGTTCAGATTAGA